TTTACAGCCAGATGTTATGGGGTCCTCTTGCTGGCTCTGGTGCTCTGGGCTGGGGTGCCCAGTGTGGGGCACTTGGAGGGACTCGGCCCATAAAGAGGAGTGCAGAATGGCTAACCCGTGTGCTACATTTCCACATGCTGCCAGCCACTGTTGGGGCTTGGGCTGATTACCTGCCGAGCAGTTGACTGTCTGAGCAGAACCTCAGCATGGTCCAGCTGCCAGTAAACATATTTGGACACAGCGTTCCTTTTGGGTTTTGTATTGTGCTGTCTGTGTGTGTCTATGTATGTCTGTTATAGATATGGTCTACTTCTATTGATTGATGGTACTGCCAAAAATTAATTTGTAAATTCAAATTTGGATAGTAAAAGGGCTCAATTCAGTTGGCTTAAAACAAACCAATAGTCCTACAACTCGGAGAAATACCAGAAACCAGCACTCCTGCTTTCAAAGTGCACATGATCTAGGATTGATCTTTAGTAGATAAACTAGCTTGAGGATGTGGGTTTAATTAAGGACGTGCGGATGCCCACTACCCTACGGCTTTAGACCTCACAGAACAGATGGGAAAGCAGGTAATGAGTCTGGAACCTCAATGTGTCATTTTACAAGGTTGGAAGAACACAAGATGCTTCAGAGGAAGGTTCAGACATTTGTGGCAAAGCCCGATTAGGATGTCAGGGTGACTGAAAATTATTGCACATAAACAATGAGATGTGTGTGTAAAAGAACTTACAGATAATGGACACACATTTCTATTGACGGAAAAGAAAGCGATCTTGTCCTAAAGTAAATGATTGTTTTAAATAAAAAAGGAGCAAGACAGAACCAAAGATAAAAGGTTTATGAAAGTTGCAGAAAGTGTATGTGTTGCAGAAGGTTCAGGAAAAAGAAATCTTGAAAAGGCAATCTTATGTGTGGCCCTGGCCGGTTTGGCTCAGCAGTTGGAGCATCGGCCTGCAGACCAGAGAGTCCCGGGTTCGGTTCCCACTAGAGCACATATCCAAAAAAAAGAGAGAGAAATCTTATGTGTGGTCAAATTCAGGCCTAAATGGATTTATTTAAGATAAAGTACACTGATACAGAATTGGAATTGGGTTACCTCTGTTAAAAGGACAAAGGTATTATACTTAGATATATATAATTGTTGATATCTCTTAATATAGGAAATTTTAAAGGGAGAGCAAGATGTATTCTGCACCATCAGGTCTGTGATTGCTTAGGTAAAACAAACCTTAATGTTTAAAGAGCTAAATTTTACTTCTAATCCTTTGTGTAATTGCTTATGAAGTTTTTTAAGTGAATGATTAAGTGTATAACTAGAATAAGGAAATCTCTTCTTTACAAAAGGGGGGAATAAAACTAATTAGGCCCATTTGATGTTTGGAAAGTGCATTTCACTCCAGTTCTCTCCCTTCAAGGATAAATACGTGGCAATGATGACCCACATGTATTCTCATTGTGTAGGGCTACAGCCATAGCAGTTACTAAAATATGTCTAGAAAGGACTTCTGCTGCTTGGAAAATCCCCAGAGTCCCACAGGGACCAGGGGTCCTGTTTTACTAGACAAATTCTACCCCAGGTGTGCTACCCTTGGCTGACCCTGCAGCATTCGCATTGCACTGATCATCCCCAGTCTTCTGGTTTTGTAGAACAAATCGACAAGATAGGTAAAATGCAATCGCTAAAACTCATTGAATCTTTTACCTGCCTTGGTTCCTCTAGGTATACACCAATAGTCCCCTTCTAAAATTGTTGCCGGAAGGCCGAGCCTGTGAGGCTAGGTCAGGGATGGTGCAAACCTCCCTTAAATAGGAGGCTTTCTAACTTACTGCAAAGAACGTGCACAGGCTCTTGAAATTACCGCGAGTTCCTGGAGCAGTCCTTCCAGTGCGCACTTCCGGACACAAAGACATGGAACATCACGGCCTACAGCCTGGATACATGGTCCATCAAAAAAGACATCTCCAGAAGGACGCCCTCGTTTCGTCTGAGTGGAGCATACTGGATGTTGTTAACTAATCTCTGAGTTGTGAGGTTGAAAGGTATTGATCCACGAATTGATGTTTTCATTTTAAAAGGTTCCCAAACTTGCACCTTATTCACCTGATGGAACAGCCAGCCTATAGGAGACCTCAAATTAGACTTATCTAGAGCTTCACTTTGGCCTTGACAGATTTATTTTAAATGTCTTATGTTTGAGCCTGTATTTACTTTGCTGAAATCAGATCATTATGCTAAGAAAATGTTCTATTCTATTGGTATTATTTCTGAAGTAATTCTTTTTTATCTTTACCTGAGGACATGTTTGCATTTATCTTGAGATAGAGCAGGAGGGAGAGAGAGGAAGAGAGAGAGAAAGAGAAACATCGATGTGAGAAAGACACATCGAGTGGCTGCCTCCCACAGGACCCCAACCGGGGCCGGGAACAAACTGCAACCGAGGTACGTGCCCTTAGCGGCAACCAAACCCAGGACTCTCTGGTCTACGTGCCAACGATCTAGCAGCTGAGCCAAAACAGCCAGGCCTGAAGTAATTGTTATTATTATTTTTTATCCTCACCCGGGGACATTTTTTATATTTTTTGTTCAGATAGAGTGGGAGGAAAAGAGAGAGAGAGAAATATCGACGTGAAAGGGACACATGGAGTGGCTGCCACCTGCAAGACCCAATCAGGGCCGGGACACACTGTAACCAAGGTACGTGCCCTTAGCGGGAACCAAACCCGGGTCTCTCTGGACTGCGGGCCGATGCTCTAAACATTGAGCAAAACCGGCCAGGGGTGAAGTAATTCTTAATAACATTTTTATAAATAAATATAATTGACTCATATACTGGCAGCTTTTGTTAAATTCTCTTTTCTCCTTCCTGAGCTTATTCTAGTCTCTGACTATACATTGTAAACATCTGCCTAGGATTAATGAAATGACTCTGTTTTTATCCCAATCAGCTCAGCAACAGAGACTGTCATGCTCAGGAGCAGAGTATCACTGCCGTAAGGTAAAAATTAACAAACTAAAATATGGAGAGGGAAAAGCTCACAGGCTAATCCCTCTAAGAATCACTTTCAACAAAGCTGAGACTTTAGGAGAAAAGTGTTAAAAGACAATTGCTAGAATAATAACTCATACATGTGATTAAAACACTTGATATACTGAAAGTACAGAGCTCTCTCCGAGGATTAGTTTGAAATAGAATATGCCAGCAGCTCCCCTAAGTGTCCGCGAGCCTGCGTGCTCCCTCTCTGCCTCCATAAAGGGTAGAACTTGCCCCAACATATAATCTCACCCTTTGTGCCTCTGCAGAAATTCTTCCATCCAGAGGCTTCAAAGTGTTTTTACAAATGTCCATTAACAAGCCTCATCATCATTTTTGTCCACAGAGGTGGTTCATTCAAGTAACACAGGAATTTACCTCAATGGCCCACTCAGGGTCACCAGAGAAGTCCTTTGTGTGGTCTGGCAGTGGATCCTCAGGGTGTGAAAGTACTCGCAGCACATTGCAGGTCCCATCTCACCGCCTCCTTTGACAAGTCCCACTGGATGGACCAGCATCTCCTGTATCTTCACAGCAAGGCTCCTGGCATTGGCCTCTCCTCAGCCTCACCACGTGCCCAGATACCTGGACACCCAGACTCCCACCCTCCTCTTTCCTATCTGATCAGGCCCAAAAGCTGAGTGAGGACAGAACCTAACTTGTTTTAAATGAATCACTTTGCTTAAATTATCAGTGTGTCATATTTTCTTGTGTCCACCGCACCCCAACTCTTTTATTAATCCAGTGAACAAATATTTATTAAACACTTATTTTGTTGCCATTCACTGGGAATACTACAGTCCTGCTCCTCCCTTCATTGTCCCATGCACCAAAAGGTCTTGGGTTCAATTCCCAGTCAGGGCACCTGCCAGGTTTCGGATTCAATCCCAGTTCAGTGTGCATAAGGTGACTGATCAGAGTTTCTATCTCACATTTATGTTTCTCTCTCTCTCTCTACCCCCCTTTCCCTTCCTCTCTTACTCTAACAATATAAAATAAAAAAATAAGAACATCATCAGGTGAGGATTCAAAAGAATCTGATACACTGTAGTCATTGCTATGAAGATGACAAAGGTGACGAGCTGGGTGAGGTGGGAAGGATGGATGGATCAGGGGAGCCCTCACTAAACAGGTGATATTTGAATTCCGACCTGGAGCACGAGACTCATCATTTTTATTTTATTTTATTTGCATCTTACAGATTTTCACTTCTAATCAAGTAAATATCCATCTTTAATGTGCCACATAAACAAAAAGCTCTTTGGTTTTCTTTTATTTTTGTCCATAGCAAGAGTCATGAGACCAAAAAGTGAGAAAACTGCTGTGGTTTGTGCCCAGCCTCACAGTATGTCACAGGCACCATTGTGATGAAAGGACAGCCAGTCCCATATAAGGCCCTGGCTGGACTGAGGTTCTCGTCCGTCAGAGCCCAGGAAGCTGATTGTGGTGAACTGTGGTACTAGGACTAGTTGTTGGCTTGTTCGCTGTCATTTTCGTTTTTGTTCTTTGTTTTTCTGTTTTTGTTTTTTATTTTGATTCTTTTTTCTTATTTTTCTTTAGTTTATTATTTTAATTTATTATTTTAGTTTATTTTTTTGTTTGTTTTTAATTTTAATTTTTCTTTTTTTTCTCTTTTTGTTTGATTATTTTCATTTATTTTGTTCTTTGTTTTTAATTTTCTTGTTTCTTATTTTTGTTTTGTTTTGTTTTGTTTTTCTTTTCTCTCTCTCTCTTTTGCTTTTGAGCCACCATGTATACCCGTGCAGCCCTCTCTGACATCAAGGAGCTGCACGTAGGGAATTATATCCTCCTAAAAACCATCGGCTGGGGAGCCTTTGCCTCAGTGTGGCTGGCGCGGCACACTGTAACGGGCAAAGAAGTGGCAGTGAAGGTTCTGCGTCAACAGGGCCTCTCTGATCCTTCTGATGAAGTCCATGCTCTCCAGGTACTAAACCATCCAAACATCGCCCACTTGTTTGAAGTGGTTACCACTGAAGACAATGTATATCTCTTCCAAGAGTATATCAGCGGCGGTGATTTATTTGACTATTTGAAGAATAGAAGCCGCATGGCAGAGGAGGAAGCCCGAACTACCTTGCGCCAATTAATATCTGCGTTACAACACTGTCACCAACGTGGCATTATCCACAGAGATGTTAAACCTGAAAATATACTGCTAGATGGGGATAACAATGTGCGTCTAGCAGATTTTGGCTTGAGCGTAGTCCTTAAAGATGAGAAGCTAACAGCCTGCTGTGGGACTATACCATACATAGCGCCTGAGGTATTACAACGTGAACCTTATGATGAAAAGGCCGATGTATGGAGTGTCGGGGTGGTACTCTACAAGATGCTGACAAAACAATTACCATTCGAGGGGAAGACCACCGAGGAAGAAGAGAATAGTGTATTGAGGGGCGATTTTCGTTTACCACTGTATCTCTCCCGAGAATGTAGAGACCTTTTGAAGAAATTATTGACCTACAACCCCAGCAAGAGACCATCTTTGGAGGACGTAATGAGAGACTGCTGGCTCAACATGGGCCAGCCAGAGGCCCTAAGACCTTATGTTGAGCCACCCCAAGGGGACCTGAATGCTCAGGTTATAAAAATCATGACAAATATGGGCTATGAGGAACATGAGATACGAGAATCGGTAACTTCAAAAAAATATGATAGTCTTATGGGGACCTATCTAATTTTATCTACGACGACACCTCAAATGAAGATCTCCACAATTAAGGTAAGGCCCTGTTCCTCCCCTGACCCTAACATCAATACTTCTGCATTCCAAGGGGTTCAGGCAGAAGGGCAAAAGGGCGGAGACCCAGCCACTTTTCCACCCAGCTTCGAGTCAAGGCTGCCCACCTCCTCAGGCAGCACGGAAGGGGGGAAGAACATTCTCAAACCAACAACCACCACACCCCCAACAAGGGAAGAAGTGAAGACCACCATCATCCCGGTCAGGGAAGAAGCTAAAACTACCACCTCGCGAACCCATGAAGAAGCAACGACCACCACCATCTTACCCAGAGAAGAAACGAAGACCACCACCTTCCTACCCAGAGAAGAAGTGAAAACCACCACCATCGTATCCAGAGAAGAAGAGAAGACCACCACCATCCCAACCACGGAAGAAACAAGGAGCACCACTCCAATACCTGGCCCAAAGTCGGGGACCACCACCTCCAGTAGAGCGCTCCACTGTGACCCTGGGAACTCCCCCATCACCCATATCAGCAGCACCAGCAGGGTTGGTGGAGCCCCCGAGGAAATCACTAATGAAAATAGCCCTCAAACTGCTCATTCTGATGTCAAGTCCTCAGCCTCGTTCCCTGGCCACATCCAGGGCAAACAGAGTAAGGCTAGGAGGGCCTTGAGGGTTCTTTTAGGACTTGTGTGTTGTGTGCCTTCTGGTAAGAAACGATGGTTCAAAAGGACAAGAGTGAAACCGATATAATTTTTATTTATTTATTTACAATTTTTAAAACTGATTTTAGAGAGGAAGTGAGGGGCAAAGTGAGATAGAAACATCAATAAGAGCGAACATCAATTGGTTGCCCCCTGCATGCCCTTCACTAGGATCAGGCCCACAACCTGGGCATGTGTCCAGCCAGGAACGAAGACCACCAACATCTGAGACAGGGAAGAAGCAGGAGCACCACCATCATAGTCAGGGACGAAGCAAGGAGCACCACCATCACAGCCAGCAAAGAAGCAAGGAGCACCACCATCATAGTCAGGGACGAAGCAAGGAGCATCACCATCACAGCCAGCAAAGAAGCAAGGAGCACCACCATCCCAGCCAGCAAAGAAGCAAGGAGCACCACCATCATAGTCAGGGAAGAAGCAACGAGCACCACCATCCCAGCCAGAAAGAAGCAAGGAGCACCACCATCACAGCCAGCAAAGAAGAAAGGAGCACCACCATCACAGCCAGCAAAGGATCAAGGAGCACCACCATCACAGCCAGCAAAGAAGCAAGAAGCACCACCATCCCAGCCAGCAAAGAAGCAAGGAGCACCACCATCCCAGCCAGCAAAGAAGCAAGGAGCACCACCATCATAGTCAGGGAAGAAGCAAGGAGCACCACCATCATAGTCAGGGACGAAGCAAGGAGCACCACCATCCCAGCCAGCAAAGAAGCAAGGAGCACCACCATCATAGTCAGGGAAGAAGCAAGGAGCACCACCATCACAGCCAGCAAAGAAGCAAGGAGCACCACCATCATAGTCAGGGACGAACCAAGCAGCACCACCATCATAGTCAGGGAAGAAGCAACGAGCACCACCATCCCAGCCAGCAAAGAAGCAAGGAGCATCACCATCACAGCCAGCAAAGAAGCAAGGAGCACCACCATCCCAGCCAGCAAAGAAGCAAGGAGCACCACCATCATAGTCAGGGACGAAGCAAGGAGCACCACCATCATAGTCAGGGACGAAGCAAGGAGCACCACCATCATAGTCAGGGACGAAGCAAGGAGCACCACCATCATAGTCAGGGACGAAGCAAGGAGCACCACCATCACAGCCAGCAAAGAAGCAAGGAGCACCACCATCACAGCCAGCAAAGAACCAAGGAGCACCACCAGCCCAGCCAGCAAAGAAGCAAGGAGCAAGCATCATTCCAGCCAAGGAAGAAAGCGAAGACCACCACCATTCCACCAGGGAAGAAGCAAAGACCACCAACATTCCAGCCAGGGAAGAAGAGAAGATTACCGCCACCTCAGCCAGAGAAGAAGCACAGACCACAAACATCCCAGCCAGGGAAGAAGCTCAGAGCACCACTATCCCAGCAAGGGGGGAAGCAAGGAGCACCACTACCATACCTGGCCTACAGTTAGGGACTGCCACTTCCAGTTCACCTCTCCAGTGTGACTCTGGGAACTCCCCCATCACCCACATCAGCAGCACCAGCAGGGTTGGTGGAACCCCCTGGGAAACCGCCAATGAAAACCTTCAAGCTGCTCATTCTGATGGTGAGTCCTCGGCCTCTTTCACTGGCCACATCCAGGGCCAACAGACTAAGGCTAGGAGGGCCTTTAGGATTTTGTTAGGACTTAGGTGCTGTGTGCCATCTAGTCACAAATGGTGGTTCAAGAGGACAAGAGTGAAACTGATATAATTTTTATTTATTTAGAGATTTTTATTGTTTCCTTTATTGATTTTAGAGAGAGAGGATGTGGAGGGAGAGAGAAATAGAAACTTCGATGAGAGAGAACATCGATTGGTCTCCTCCTGCACGCCCCCCACTGGGATCAGGCCCACAACCTGTGCATGTGTCCTGACTGGGAATCGAACCTTTGAACTCTTGGTGCATGGGTTGATGTTCAACCACTGAGCCTCACTGGCTGGAATTTTTATTTTTTAATTTCTAAATTATTTTTTCCCTTTTTATTGTTTTAGAGAGAGAGGAAGGAAGAGGGAAAGAGAGATAGAAACATCGATATGAGAGATCATCGATTGACCACCTCCTGCATGCCCCCCACTGGGGATCTGGCCCACAACCTGGGCATGTATCCTGACCGGGAATTGCACCAGTGACCTCTGGGTGCATGGGTTGATGCTCAACACTGACCCCCCACCAGCCAGACACTGATACAATTTTTAAAAAGTGTCCCTGGCCACCATAGACCATGGTCACAGATTCTGTGAAGATCAAGCAGCACCCCCAGAATATTGAACCTGAAGGTACTGAGCTCCTAGGAGGCCGGCCACGTGGTGCAGGTGATGAACCAGATGCTGGACACAAACAGCTGCGATGAGAGCAGTTCCGGGAATACACGCTGTGGAAGGTGAGAGGACTTGGTGCAGCGGACGATGGGTTGTGCAGACTGCCGAGGCGTTCTCTGCACGGGGTTCCCATCAGGAGGGTATCCAGTATCTCCGTGGCCTTCAGAAGCATCTTATCCAAAATACCTGCTGTGCTTGGAGATGCCCTGGAGCCCTGGGGGTCGAGAGGAGAGGCTGCCTTCGCTGTGGGACCACCCCTCTTCCCACCCTGAATGAAACTTCAGACTCTGGACTGTTTTTCCTGGAGCCCTTCTTTCTCCCCTGCTGTCCTCTGCTCCCATGTTTGTGGGGGGTTCTCATTAAAGTATTTGGTTCTCTCCAATTCTGTAATACACTTGATGCTCCAGAAGATGTGTTGCCTACTCTGGTTTTCATCCTCTGCACAGATTTGGGGCTGTGCATCCTGTAGTGTGAGAAGCGTGCAGTGTGCAGTGATGGGACTTGATGACGGGAACTCCGACAGTAACGATGTGGTTCTGCAGGGAAAGGCCAGCACCCGGCCTGGTGGGTGAGGCAGGCAGAGCTCATCCTCATGCAGCTGATCGCCTGGGTGCTCTGTGACCTCAGCAGGAATGACCTCTCCTGACCTCTTGGCTTTGCTCTCTGCCCTGGGTGCTGGTGTCATTCTCAGGTGGGCTTTCCCTCCCTACAAGTCAGACTTTTAAAGCACTGGAGGGACAGTGTCCCGCAGAGGGGACAGCAAAACTCAAGCAAGGGGCTCAGGTGGGAAGGAACTTGGCATTTTCCAGGTGGCCAAAGTGTAATGAGCTGGAGTGAGAACAGCAGGAGTTCAGGTGCAGACGAAGGGCAGGGTTCGTGGGCCATGGGAAGGGGTGTGGGTTTTATTCTGAGCACAGTGATCACCCCGTGAAGGGTTTTAAGCAAGGAAGTAATATGGTCCAATATATGTTTAAAACTAATTAATTTTGGAGAATATCTTTCCTATGCAAACATTTCATCTATGTCTACAGAAATACAAGATGCACCAGGCAGGGTAGGTTTGCTCATAACTACCCAAGAAGTAAGAGTCAGAAACCGCATGCTTTCCCCCCATATTAATTTTTACCACATCAGTTCCCTGAACATGTAGAAACACAAATTAAAACACTGTTATAAAAGGGAACGACCCGCCCTGGCCAGTTTGGTCAGCGGTGAGAGCGTCAGCCTGCAGACCAGAGAGTCCCTGGTTCGGTTCCCGCTAAGGGCACCTGCCTCAGTTGCAGTTTGTCCCTGGCTTCGGTTGGGGTCATGTGGGTGGCAACCATTCTATGTATCTCTCTCACATCAGTGTTTCTCTCTCTCTCTCTCTTTCCCTCTCTCCCTCCTGCTCTATCAGACAATAAATGCAAAAATGTCCTCAGCTGAGGATAAAAAAAAAAAAAAAAAAGAAGGGAACCACCTACCTGCCTCTGTGGAGCTGACTGGTTGTTCTTACAACACTGGTCAGCTGCTCTTCCTGCCCTTTTCCCTGAGGAACCTGCGGGGCTCCTTTGATTCATCTGTCCTCCTTCCCAGTGATCCCCACAGCAGAAGGCAGAGGAAACCTATGTGTGACCCTGATCACTTTGTATTGTCCAGTGGTTTCCTTCTCCTCCTTGCCCTGATCTTCTGGGGCTGAGAACAACCTCACTCACCTTTGTGTTTCCTTCATTCTCACAGAGCCAGGTCCAGAGCAGGTGCTCAGATAGTGATGGACAGGTGAGCCATCCACCTGCTGCCTCTATAGTGGATTGTCCCAAATCAGGACACACTGGAGTGTGAAAGGGAATGTGATCAATGACTGTGCTGGGACAACAGTGGAAAGTTGGACTGGGATTTTACTGGGATGTATGTTCACTTTGCTAATCATTGTACAGAATTATGAACAAAATTGTGAAGTCTCCAATTTTGGAGTCTTTTAGAAGGCTCTAGTACTCACTCCATTTGCCTGACCTGGTTTGGACCAATAGTTCCCAAAGCTTGGGAGACAAAATAGCACAGGATGTGTGTGTGTGTGGTTTTGTTAATCCTCACAGAAGGATACATTTTTTGTATTGATTTGAGAAAGAGAGAGAAACATTGATTGGTTGTCTGCTGTACATGCCCGAGAGGATTGAACCTGCAACCTAGGTATGTGCCTTGACCAGTAATCGAACTCACAATCTTTTTGGTATATGGGACGATGCCCCAACCAACTGAGCCACCTGGCCAGGGCAGCATGAGAAATATTTTACCTTCACTTATTCCTTCTCTAATGCTCCTAGTTTCTCTCTGTGGATCTGAATTTTTGGCCTATATCATTTTTCTTTTTTCTGATGGATTTTTTAAAACATTTCTTATGTTAAAGGAAGGTCTACCACTATTAAATTCAATTTTTGTTTGTCTGAGAAAGTCTTTATTTCTCCTTCACCTAAAAAAAATAAAATATCTTTTTTGTTGAGAGTATTAGAAATGTTCCCCCTCTTTTTCCCCATTGACGCCCTCCACCCTGCTCCTGCCCCCACCCCAGGCTTTTACCGCATTATTGTCTGTGTCTATTGGTTATGCATATATGCATATAAGTTCTTTGGTTAGTCTCTTCCCACTCTCCCAACCCCCTTTCCCTCAGAGATTTGTCAATCTGTTCCCTGCTTCCATGTCTGGATCTGTTTTGTTCATTAGTTTATTTTGTTCATTAGATTCTACATATAAGTGAGAACATGTGATACTTGTCTTTCCCTGACTGGCTTATTTCACATAACTTAATACTCTCCAGGTCCCTCCATGTCATCTCAAAGGTTAAGAGATCCTTCTTTTTAATAGCTGCATAGTACTCCATTGTGTAAATGTACCACCACTTTGTTAATCACTCATCTACTGATGGGCACGTGGGCTGTTTCCAGATCTTAGCTATTGTGAATAGTGCTGCTATGAACATAGGGGTGCAAATATTCTGATTGGTGTTTCAGGCTTCTTAGAATATATTTTTAGAAGTGGGATCACTGGGTCAAACGGCAGTTTAATTTGTAATTTTTTGAGGAAACTCCATACTTGAAGGATAATTTTGTAAGATACAGAATTTTAAGTTGGTGTATTTTTCTTCTCTTCTCAACACTAAATATCTCACCCCATTATCTTCTTTGAATGAGTTTGAGAAATCAGATTAATTCTTATCTTTGTTTCTGCATAGGTAAGGGGTTTTTCCCCACCTCTGGATTCTTTCAAAATTTTTTCTTTATCTTTGATGTTATTTAGTTTTTAAAAAAATCTTTATTGTTGAATGTATTACAGATGTTTCTCATTTTTCCCCCATTGACCCCCTCCTCCCCACTCTCGCCCCCTTCCCGCCTTTTCCCACACTGTTGTCTGTGTCCATTGGTTATGCATTTATAAGTTCTCTGGTTTATTTCTTCCCACCCCCCAACCCCTTCCCTTTTAGGCTTGTCAGTCTAGCAACCAATTTGTACTCCTTAATTCCTTCACCTTTTTCACCCATTCCCCCAAACCCCCTCCCATCTGGCAACCAACAAAATGTTCTCTGTATCTATGAGAATGTTTCTGTTCTGCCTGTTCATTTTGTTTATAGATTCCATTGTTGATAGATATGTATTCATTGCCATTTTCTTTGTTCATATATTTTATCTTTTTCTTCAAAAAGACCTTTCATCATTTTATATAATAACAGTTTGGTGATGATGAACTCCTTTAACTTTTTCTTGTCTGGGAAACTCTTTATATGACCATCGATTCTAAATGAAAGCTTTGGAAGATAGAGTAACGTTGGTTGTAGGTTCTTACTTTTCATCACTCTGAATATTTCTTGCCACTCCCTTCTGGCCTGCAAAGTTTCTTTTGAGAAATCAGCTGACAGTCTTAGGGGAACTCACTTGTAGGTAACAAACTGCTTTTCTCTTACTGATTTTAAGATTTTCTCTTTGTCTTGAACCTTTTGCATTTTGATGATGATGTGTCTTGGTGTGGGCCTCTTGGGGTTCATCTTGTTTGGGACTCTCTGTGTTTCCTGGACTTGTATGTCTGTTTCTTTCACTAAGTTAGAGAAATTTTCTGCCATTATTGTTTCAAATAGGTTTTCGAATTCTTGTTCTCTCTCTTCTCCTTCTGGCACC